CTTTTAAAAATAGGTAGCAGTTTTGACAGCAATTTAAGTTGCAGGGTAACCTTAAGTCCAATGTGTCTATCAGCTAATCATGACATGCAGCAGAATTTGTCAGTCAGGTGTTTAATGAAATGCCTCAATTAACATGATGAGCAAATTAATTTAGATGAACATTTTGTTGAAGTAGATTAAAAAATAAACTCTTTATGTGAGAAACCTTTGAAAAGGCCCTCCTTGCTTTTCTCCATCGTAGCTTCCACATTAAGAAGCTGAATTTCTGCAAGTCCTTAACATTAAGCTTACTTGCTTGCCTTCTCTGGTGATTATGGACTGTATTGGCAATCCCTTCAACACACTGTTTAGAAATTGAATCTTTAGCAAAATATTAGGAGTTCAAAATGCTAGCAGCAACTACTTGATCAATTTCTACATGGTATTTGGCAGACACTTCACCTACGAAGTCAGATGAAATCTAGGATGAAACCTAGGAAGAGAAGCCACCACAGCCTCATTAACTGATCAAAGGAGAAAGATATTAAATCTTCAAAAAAAGTCATCCAAAGAGAAAGTATTACACCTAATTGTGATAGGAAACGAAGGTATTTCATAAAAGATGCAAGAAATACTCCATGTAATAATCAGTAAGGTGCCTAAAACCTACAGACTTGACAAAATTATGAGAATCTATCAAAAAAATCAACTCTATGAGCTCTCCAAGCTCATTAAATACTTACCTCTAATAGTTATCCCAGCTTTCTTAGTCCTTCAAGAGCTTTCTTTTTACAACTTCAATATGCCAGAAAATAGCTAAGTGATTTTTTCCCCCCCCTAAATCCAGAAATAACCTCATTAGTTACTGTAGTTCAATTCTGGACTTCTGGAACAATAAAACAATCATCCTATAACCTAAAGTGTAAGGCAGAACATATTAGATACCAATAGCACACCTATTGCTTGGTAACACTAGACACCAATAGCATGCCTTTGCGTGGCTTAACGTTAGTGGATTTATGAGGTTCAAAAGAGCTGGTTTTAAATGAGCAGATTTACTTTCTACACTGTCACAGCTGGAACTTGAGCCTTATCAGTGAGGTCACTGAGAAAACTACTGACTTCAGTGAAGCAACTGCAAGCCCTGTCATTGACTTTCCTTTCCACACAGGCAGAGGGACATTATTTACCAACCATAAAATGAACAATTATGTCAAAAGAGAATGTTGCCTGGAAGCCTTAAAAAGCTTGTCAGTAAGTCACCTGTGCACAATTTGCTTACATAGCTACTAGCCAACAGTAGCCAACTGCTCCAAGGAAAAACTCTCTGGTATTTGGAGATCTGTCTTGTAAGGAAAGCAGCAGTTAAACAAACAAAAAGCACACAGAAGGATAAGGAGGATTTCTAAGAAAAAAAAAAATATTAGCACCACATCAGTTATCAAATACAAATGTACTGCAGTTGAGAACTTGTTAAACATCTTTCATTTTTACCACCAAGCCAGAAAAGCACCACACATATATAACCTCAAATTCACAGAATCACAGAATTGTAGGGGTTGGAAGGGACCTCCAGAGATCATCGAGTCCAACCCCCCTGCCAAAGCAGGTTCCCTTTTCCTGAAAATTCTTTTCAGGAAACTCTGTTCACCACTCCATTTTTTACTTAAACACCATCATTGAAATAAGACTTATGCATTAAAGTTAATTTTAGTTAATTCACATCTCAGATAACCGGTCTTCCAGTAATTAACTTTTCCCTGAAAGTTGTAAAATACAAAGATAAGATTTGCTTTCTTCTTGGCATGTCCAATTTTTTCTTTTTGCATGGAGTTTTTCTTCCACATCTCTCCCTCTCCCATTATTGAAGTGAGGCTTTCATCTTTAACACAACATGCATTGCCAAGACTAACATTTAAAAGCAATAGCTGCAGAGAGTTCAGATACCTTAGGAAGACCGCAAAGGTAGAAACTTGGCAGAACAGCAGGACTTCAAGGAACCAAAGGAAGTACATGAGGAAAATGAGAGAGGTCTGGAAGACTGTCAGCACCAGACCTGAAAGTTCGTTCTACAAAACATAGAAGTTCATCAAAACTTGCTCCTTGGTAAGGATGTCAGTATGCCCAATATATAGCAGCTGCGCTGGTAAGTAGTCTAAATTTGTCAAAACACATTTTAGAGAGGCTGGAGAGAATGAGGTACTGTTACAAAGAATGACATCCCAATTCATAAACTCATCTGTAGGATGACAGGCAGGAGAAGAGCAAAATCAACTTCAGTGAATGAATTTGGATGCAAGTTGGATATAGCCCTGGCACAGGTTGCCCAGAAGCTGTAGGGTCTCCTTCTTGGAGATTTCCAACAGTTGCCAGGATGTGGTGCTGGGCACCCTGCTCGAGCAAGAGCTGTGCTACATGGATCCAGAGGTTCCTGCCCACCTGAGCCACGCTGTGATTATCACAGAAGAATAGTTTGCATAATATGCAAGTGTTTTTTCAATCCAAAATCACTTGAATCCATATTTCCATCCTATGTAAGTACTTGGTGTTCTGTGGTATCTGAGTTTAACCAGCATATGAACAGCGCAGGTAACTTCTTAAATGGGGCTGCCAGGCAGTGGGCTCTTCTACTACCGATGAAGTGGAACACAAAACAATGCAGGCATACAGAAGTACTCTGAAGAGGTGTATATATACATACCTACCAGTAGGACATGGGCAGGGCCACACCACCTGGCCTCAGGGCTGGAGAACCAGGGTGCCATGTGAAAAGTACTGTATTCACAGCAGAACATCAGGACTACAGGGTGTAATCCTTCTGTAAAAGGTACTGACATATAGAGACACCGAGAGACTCTACTCCTCCAGGGGTACTGTGAGAACTGAAAGAGATGATCTTATACAGTCTTTTTTGTCGCCTCTTAGGAACGGCTCTTGGAGCTTCCCAGACAGCATCCAAGCATTACCCTCGTGTTGACTGGGGGAGGCCAAAACTGCCCCAAACAGGTACTGTCCGCAGTCCGACACTCATGCTTGCTTCCTGGCCCTGCTCTTATTTATTCAGCAGTATGAACCTCAATATGGTTTTTGAATACAGGAAGCTACAGCAGTATTATTCTGCTGCTGCCAGAGAATAGCTAGCAGCAGAACTACTGTGCTTCCAGGCTGCCAGATGCTTAGATTTTCTATTCATACTGCTGTATCAGCAAAAATGACCAAAAAGGAGCAACTATGAATTGACTTACAAAAACTACTAGACACCAGACTAACTCTATTCAGGTTGAGTTTCAACAACCATCTTTAAAGACATTCTAATGCTCTCACCAGCCTTATACTACTAGTGCATTTTCTAAACTTACTGTTCATTGCAGCCTTCATGCCATACTCCATAGCTATGCAGCACAAGCTTTCATTTGAACCCAAGTCCTTAAAAAGCATTAAAATACAGCTAGTAAAATAAACTCGTGGAATAGTTACTTGAAATAAAACAACTGCTTTACTAATAAGGCTTGTTTTTCTAGTCAACTTTGAAGAATGAGTGTTTGTTACATTTGTTATTTTTTTTTCCTTCATTGAAAGAGCAGCTTTCTAGTTTCATCCAATGGCATCCTAATTCATACCATGATACAGCAACATAAGCCCAGCAGTCAAATCTGAGTTTTACCTTCTCAGGTGAGGAGCAACCGTGCTAAGAGAACACACACGGTTGCACATAGCGCAGCAGTCATTTCAGCAGATAAAGCCTCAGACTTGCACCAGCTAAAATGAGCCAGAAGAACCCAGAGCTTGTCAGTTCCCACACTCCAACACAGGAACATGAAATGCGTGCGTTCCCACCTGCCTCACTGCCAGTGAAGTAAATAACCACGAGATTTCTTTTCACGAGAAGTCTGCAGAATCTGTTATGATGAAGACCCAGATATACCTATGCAGTGCCTCCTCTTTGCATTTCCAAACAGAAATCAAGATGAACCTGTTGTTTCAAAACAACTTCTTACCAAAGCAACCTCCCAATTAGGGAGCAAACTGCCCATCCAACCAACCAAAGTTCTCACCTCCATAGTTGTTTGATTAGGTCAGCCATTGCAGGCAATCCTGAAAACAAGAGCCTAACACGGTTCCCAACCAGGGACAGAATAAAATTCTGTTCAGTAACAGTATAACAGAGCAGAGCGTTATAACAAACACCATCATGAAGGTCACCCTGGCTTCCTGTGTAAAGCAGTTCTCCTTCTTGATTCTTTTACCAGCATCTTTCCTGACAGCTTCATTCACATCAGGAACCTGTTCAAGCACAGATTTGCTGTTCTGAGCGTTTATGCAGGAATTAACAGTGCGGGAACCTGACTTGGTCCTGATCTCTGGCCTAGTGGAATATTAAAACATATGCATACAGTAATAAGAGACATGTGTTTCCTGGTTTCAAGAATAATTTAAAAAAGAAAAACAAGCTATGTTCTGCATGGCTTCAGATACTGCTAATCTAATCGTGTGCTCAAGCAAACCTCAAATCATGCCCTACATATTTAATTTTATGATGGTATTTTTGTCTAAGACAGCAGTTGCTCTGTGCTTTTTCTACAAAAGAAAGAGCATGGCAAACAGTACCATAATATATATCTCACAGACTGACATATCTCCTCAGACAGACGTCTTCCTTCTACTAGCAACAGATGTTATCAAAATACATTTCTATCATTATCTTATTTTTTTGAGAAACCTAACATTACTTAATAATGGCAAAAAAAAACAAAAACAGAATGCTGAAAATATTGTTATCCCCAGTCTCAGTGGGGATATTGCCAATTATAACAAGCTTCAGACATTCAAAAAGGAGGCAAAAATACCCGATAAACCATTTTCTCTGCTGGAAAAAAACCCTCACAGTTAGCAGAAATCAAATACTGAAAGATCTGGGCATTCCACTACAACTAAAAGCAGCACAAATGCACAGCTAGAAGGAAGCACAACAGTAGCATTCTTTAATTTTTCTACTATTATGCTTTAGAATAAAAACTTACTTGTGCATGTTTTCCACTCCTATAATGATCATGAGATAGTAGGAAATTCCACTTTGTATAACAAAATGTAAGGCATACCTAGGAGGAAAAAAAAAAAATAATCACTCAAGGCATTTTCATTAATGACAATCAACTACATTATTTATTTACTTAACGTTAATTTGAGGAGGCTTCTCTAGTTCTAACTCCATCACTTCTTACCAAAAACTTAGAATGCATTCTATTAGGTTTGCAGCAGCCCTCTCTGCTCCCAATAGCTTCCCCCTTTAGCACAGCACAGACAGTAATAATGAGCAAAGACTACAGAGTTAACTAGAATTCTCCATCTAGTAAACAAGAATATAAAGTGTTGATAATCTTAATTATCAGGCCTTACAATACTTTCATCCAGCATTATTTCATGAGTAAATAAAATGAATGTTTTGTGGCTTAGTTCCCATATATCTGCCCCTTCACTTATCTGCAACAACAGATCTCAGATAAGGCCAACCATATTTCAGCAAGCACAATATCAGTATGAGGGAAGATTTTCTTTTCCCAGGCAGTAAGTATAGCAGATGTGCCCAGCCAGCTTCCTTGCCCCACGTGGTTAATAGCTAACTAGGGATGGGGAACAGCATTTCGTCCTTAATCAAACTTGATTCACACCTTCAGCTTGGTGCTCAGTAACATTTACGCGCACTCAAGAGATACATTGATCTAGTTTGGGATTTTCCCCTATGAAAAGCAGCCTCAAAGTAGCTCCTGTTCTGTTCTCCTGATCTGCTTTTTTTTTTTTCCCAGCTTGTCAGCAACTGCATAATTTCACTCCTCATTCATTCATTATGTGATACCTTAAAAGCTACTGAGCAAGGGACCTGCGAGAAGACTAAACACGATGATCTCATAGAAACAAATTCACTTGGATACTGATTGACCTTGAAAAATAACTTCCAATGGAAGATCCAATCAGTACTTGCTGCCATGCTCCACTAATAGCTACCCTTGTTTAAGTTATGGCTAACTAAAATTCAAATGCCCATTTATCATGTACAAATGCCCATTAAAAACATATTCACTTTTTCTCTTCCGATCAACCACATATAAGCAACACCACATAACAAAGACATGAAAACATCACGTCAGGAAGGTTGCTTTTTAAACAGATGGAGGGATACATTGCAATAAAGCCTGAAGAAGCTCAGATTGACATGGATAGTGTGTCAAGATTACAGTCTCTGAAAATATATTTCTTTCAGTACAAATCTCATTAACAGCAGCAATTTTTTAATTTTTTTTTTTTAATATGACATCAATCATATGAGATGCATCTAAATACTGTACAGAACAGTGAGTTTTAGTTATAAACAAGAGGTATTCGAGGTCTTCCGTGCTGTTGGTTTGGTTACACTTGTCATTACAACTACACTTAATGATTTCTGCTTCCAAAGCAATGCAGACACAAAATGTGCTTCTGAAGCTTACACAGCTCTCACCAAAACCACACACATCTGCTGTATCATTCTCCTTGCTTGCAGCTAGGACCTCAAGTCTTTGACAGCAGATTGCTCAAAGCAAAATACCAGGGCCAAAAGTTGAATAAATGCATGGGAGTTAGTTACATATATAAGTAAATTGCATGTGTAAATCCAAAGAGTAAAAGTTTGATGTTTCCTAAATTTAGAAATAATACTATCAAATAATGTTGGACAGCCTCCATAAGGTGTCAAAGTAGAGATAAATCTGTGGCTTAGAATCCAAGATTTATTTATACACGCTGTGCACAGACACACAATGTGCACGTGCTGTATGCATCTTCCCATCTGCACCCACACTCCAGCTTGAGGAAGGGATTAATTCCTTACAATCAGTGTAAATCTAAGCCCCCTATATACTCAAAATTGAAAAAGCAGTTTGCTTGCAGTGCACTGAACTGAACTGGCTCTTAATTCAGCTTGGGAAGATGAGAGCCATTTCAATTTTTGAAGAAGAAAAAAGAAAAAACTCTCAACTAAATGCATTCCCTTTATTAGCCATACTATCATTCTGTCCTGGTATGCTCTGCGAAGATCAAGATGTGAAAGCAGCAATCAGAGAAAATTTAAGTTTTTAAACAAAACTCCTCCTATAAAACAAAAAGAAATATACATGAATGTACCCCAAACCCTCAAACCAAGAACAACTCCTTTTCAGGGGCTTGATACTACTTGGGAACATCATCAGCTCTGCAGTGTACTCTTCCTGTAACAAGTCAGATGATATTCAATACTCAGAAGAGGACCTGGAGAGTTAGTGCATGCAGATAATGTTGAGGAGAAATGCTCTCACCACATCTGCAGTGTCCCAAGAGAAGACCTTCCAAGCACATTTAAGCTGCACCTGCTCCTTCCTCCCAAAACTACAAGAGAGTGTTAGCTACCAGCTCACAAATGGAAGCTCTTTCAAAACTTCTGCACTTCAGAAAATTTAAGGCACTCGCTGTACATTTGCAGCAGCTAAAAAACACAGGTAACGTTCTTCACACGAAAGCATTGCTTTCTGCAAACAAGGCATGAAAAATTAATGAATCCTTTAGAAGTGAAATTAAGTGCAACTTACCATCCAAAACAAAAAAGTGCAAGATAAAGGCCCAAGAGGGTTGCAACAACATGTCTTATAAATGGGCTAGTTTTGCTTGAATGAAGGTATGTTCGAAACCAAATAGCCGCAAGCAAGGCAAACAGTTGGCACACTACGAAGTTGACCTGCATAAAAAAGAAAAAGAACAATTCTCACACTTGTGTATTAAAACTGGCTGACAAACTATAAACAGTTTGCAACTGGCAGAACTTTGGGCTCTCCCACAGCTCTTCTCACAGCACGTCACCTTCAGAGCTCCACCAAGCACAAAGCAGGGCTCCCACCAGCAACCACATAGAAAGGATACTTCAAAGCTATAGAGGCAATCTGGGCACATATCAAACAAGTTTTGTACACCAAACCACTCTTCTCTCACAGGCACATTTACACTTCTCAGTAATGTGAAGATGTGGGTTTGGTTGTTTTTTAAACTTAATTACTGGAGTGGAACTTGGGACAACCTGCAACCACAACCTACAGAACTCATCTTCTCAACCATCCGTAGGTTTCCCATTTGCAAGGAATAATTCCCCTTCTACTGTACTACTCCAAACCCTTCTGCACCAGCGAGTTACACAAGCATTAAGTGCTAACAGGGAAAGCAGCTGTGGGCACAGTGCTGCTCTTCTTAACAGAGCAGGTTCCCTAAACTCAACTGTCACTTATGCTTGGCCATCCATTTGCTTACTCCCACATTTACATTATGCTTTTAGCAGTAACTGAAGAATCCTAAATGAATGAGGGGATATTCTTCCAGGGCATAACTTGACCTGTTTTTTCTCCATTATACACACTGATGCAAATGAAAAAGAAGATTTATAAGTCAGGACGAGTTTCTGGGTTCTGTGGAAAAGTTCCATACAAAACAGTTGGATTTAATGAGCCACTGAAAGAAACAAACTGATCAAATATACAGAGGGGAAGAAAAATAAAGAAGCCCAAGTAATTAACTATGTTCTGATGGAAATGGCATTATGTGCACTGTATCTGTTTGTGACCCCAAGAACTCACACCCCAGGCAGACTGGGATGGGAAGTGAGAGAAGAGGTTACCTCTGAAAGCAAGGTGGCAAGGACTGGGAGAGAAAAGGCAACGAGGTCTGGTTGCCATGGCAAGGGGAGAAATGTAAATCTCCAACCTGTACCACTGTTTCTGCAGGAGTGGACAAGCTAAACAGCAGACCCTGAGCTTTACAACTCAGGATAAACTTGTAGGTTTAGGGACACGGAATAATCCCAACTGACACAAAAATGTACAGAAATCTAAGGATGTCAGGTTACAGTCTTTGAAATTCACAAACAAATGACCTAAGCAACGCAAGCCTGTTCTGAAATCCTTGCTCACAAGTGACTCCACAGTTAGCAGGGAGTGCTTTTAAACTGCTCTTCCCAAAAATGCACAGATGGACGCGCACTGGGATGCACAAAAGACACCACCACAATATTCACACGGCACCTCGGGGCCATCTCCTAACCCTACCCATCCATCCCTAATATCTGCCTCACAAGGCACAGAAATATGGCTTAGAAAGCACTGATGGTTTTTACAGCCTTGTATTATACCAGGTGCCCCCAAAGCTTTAAATACATATATACAAAAGCAAAATATACACAAGTTAAGAGTTGAAAACCGTGCATCTCCCATTTAGTCTTTACATATACCTCCTCCTGGTAATGCTCCTCTGTTCTCCCCAGCTGCATTTCTGCTTCATTCTGCACATGGACAGTTGCCCAGTTTTTGCCTGTATCCTCCAAGCCATTAAATACTTACCATCTGCATCTACACCAAATACAAAACCTTACATTTCCCCACAGGCATGTTTATGCAGATCTGACCACAGCATGGGAAGAATATACAAGATAATGAAAGTCCAAAGTGTAAACTAAATGCCCACTAATTTCAGCTGCCTAATTTCCAATAGATAGTGCCTGGCTTTTCAGTCAGTACTTTCAACAGAACTTCAATTGGAGCTGTGCTTTGAAAATACAGCTTCAGCTGCTCTTATGAATATTCAGCATTCCTATAAATAAGGCCCAAAGCAGCTCAGAACACCAGCAAAACCTGAAGTCATCACGATGACATTTTCATTACGTTATTTCTCTAGATCACTAGAACTCTGTGGCAGATACAGATGTGAAAAACAGCAAAGCAGGAGGACTCGTATTCTGAATGAGGAAAGGAGATCACATGAAGAGAAGTTGTGACCATTGCTGGGTTGTATCACAGTCAGACAATCCTCACCTGATGCTCCTCCTGATGTTTAAACATATACTATTGCAGGCTAACCATTCACTTCATAGACACTTAGAATATCTGATTGCTTACGTTTTAAAAAGAAACAAAACACGGCATTTCTACGACAAACTCGATGCTCACCTGTTTGCAATTACCAGTTATTGCTTCAGCCCAAAGCACAGATTCCTGCCACTCCAGCTATCAAAAGTATCAACTCATTTCACATGGAAATAAGATTAACCCCCTGCTGGTCCTATAGGAAGTAAAGAGAGACTCTAGGCTTCCAAAGCCCATCCTGCTCACCTCCAATTCCAGCATCTATACCACGCTGCAGGGCAGGCAGGCGGGCTGCTGAAAGCTGCCTCCCAAGCATCCTCACTTAAAGATGCTTTGGCATGCATGATACAGCAGCGTCCACACAGATCAGATACATACATATTGTAATTTAACCTGAACTGAACCAGAAGATACATTCCAAAGGAAATGGGACATCTAGCCTGTAGACTAGACCTCAGCAGCAGAATTTCCTAAAACCATCACAGCATCAGTGATGGGTCTTCATTAGCAACAACATCCTACAGATACACTCCTATTGCACCACAGGACTTGATGCAAACAAAGCAAAATTCAACATTCAGCCTTTTCTCAATCACCATCTTCACTTGGCCTCAGCTAGCAAGAGCTCTGCCCTGAGCTGCACGACCATCTCAGACATACAGCTTGCCTTGAAATACAGCATGAAAGTGAACTCTCTTGCCAGAAGGCAAATGAAACAGTCACTCAGAGGGCAGGGCTGGATATCATCACTGTGCAAGCTTACACAGAAAACACGTGCACAGCCAAGCAGCTATTCAGCTGGCAAATATCACGTACGGTAACCTCAACATCTGGGAGTGATAGACTTGGGTACCTCCTGAAAGCTTACATCAAACCCTTACAACATTCTGAGTACGGGCAGAATACAACTTTTAAACACCTCATGAATTGGTTAGACTGGAACAGAACGCCCGCAAGGAACAAAGACAACACCATGAAGGCAGCATGATTAATTCCACAAACCCAACTCTAGTTGTCTCCCTTCAGTCATAAAAGCCACTCTTACAAGCAGCTCAGGTTTTATGGAGGAATAAAAAGTTGGATCCATTAGAAGCTAAAGTCTTAGGGGTAAAAAAAATATATATATATACCTGATCCAATGTGTGGAACAGGAAGTTTCACCCCAAGGCGTTGTAATTCAGTGTATCTATGAAAGAAAAATAGAGTTTTTGACCTCCTCATGTTACAGACCATATAAGCTGAGCTTATAGGGACTGTAACCCCTATACTCCCCATATAACTTTCCATTACTGCTGCTGTGTGCACATGGAAGAACTGAAAAAACCAACGACTTACAATGATGGCACAAATGATCAGCAATGATCATCCAGTAACTACTGACATAGATGCCTATCAAATCCCTCTTAGAAATATTAAGGTGTTTCAAAACTCGCTACACGTATCCTTGCAACTTTCAAGTTCAATCTGCTGTTTTGGTGCAAGAGCAGTGGTACAGCACAGCTTCCCTGCACCTTTTGTGCCAAACATGACAGTGCCACATGAGTACAAACCAGTTTCCATGCTTGGGCTATTTGAACTCAGCTGTTCTAGTAAACTCATTGAGCTGTAAAACGCATTAATCTACATGTCAAATTTCCCACTTGCATGCACTGTGCAAATGTCAATAGAAAGTCTGTAACAAAACTTCTTTAAAAAACATTGATTCTAGATTTTTAGATGTTTAAATACAATTTGTGAGCTGCATTTGTAAAAACACTCTGTTTCTCAAGAAAAGCATTTGAGGAATCTATTCCTTATATAAGGAAAAGAAGAACAAGGTTACAGACTGCTCAGGATTTTCAGTTTCAGAGTTTTAGCAACAACAATTTGAACTGCTACAAACGGCCCATCTTTGACATAGGCAGCATCTAAAAAGTATTAATGGTTTATTAGAAGTTCACATTAGAATGAAATACAGGAGACCATTTCTCTCAAACTCGTTTTTAATACACTGCTGTGCAATTTTTATGCACCGATTAAGATTTTAACGACAGTAACACCTAGAAGTCCCATATTGCCCATTCCATACTGCTCTTCATGCCACTTAAGTCACAGCCATTTCTCTTTCCCCAAAGCCATCGGCTGAAGACTTGAAAACATCTACACATGTTCCCCAAAAGCTCCTTTCAACACAGGAGAGCTGATGCGTCCCTACGGCACCCAAAGCACAGACAGCTCTCCTGTCCAATTTCTAACCTCCATCCAGCAGAAAAAGAACAATCACGATGCTCCTGTAATTGCCTATTGCCAAACCACTAAGAAACCAAAAGTGACAACTATTATTATATGAAAGCAACAATCAATTTCTCCATCAAAAAAATAATCCCATGGCAAGAATGAAAATCAAAGCGTCCAGTAATTTACTTCAATTCTTTGGGAAAGGTCTGAAAGAATCCCAGAGGTCATCGATATCGGATGAAGCTGAAGGATACTTGAGCGTTCCATTCAGAGAACATCACAAACTGACAGGGCGTTCCTCTTTCAATTCAAAGGCCATAAACCTTATGGTGATGCTTTCAAGTCCATTTTTGGTTCAAAGAATACCAATCACCTTCCGTGACAAAGATTCAATTCATCAGCACTCCTGCCATCTCAACCTCATCCCATGAGGAATATGAGGAAAAGTACGTGAAGCAGCAGCAATTATTTTAGGTGGTACCAGTGTGGGAGATGTTAACTTTGTGTTCTTCGTAACAAAGACTGTGCTGCTCTGTTTGTAGACTACCAATGTCAGCCATTTTCAGACCACACTTCCAAGCACAATTCCTCTAAGAGCAGCCACTTGCTCTAAGAC